ATATTGAAACCATGTAAAATATCTCTTTACAATAGGCTTCGCACTAACGAACACAAAACTAATGTTCGGAACCTACCATGATAAACGATGTAACATTTTCTAGGCTAAATCCATCATGGTGAAAACTTAAATGTTCACTTACAGGTTATTTTTCGAGGGTAGGGTTGAATTCGGTAAATAAAATTGAAAGTCTCGAAGTCTTATTTAAAAGGTGGTATCGTTGAATAATTATCCGATCATCGATAGAAACTTTCGAATATCATCATTCACTGAGTTTTTAATTCTGTCAATAACGAGCATCGGCCAAAATTAATTTTGACATGTTTTGGCAGTAATAGTGATACTGTAAATTTATTTATTTAATAAGGTTTTATTGATTTAATGAATCTTTCAAATATATAATTTGATGTAATACTGAATAAAGATACTGCGTCATATGTTAATATTCCATAAAGTTTTTTTTTTTAATAATGAAGAGGACGAATCTAACTTTATTAATATTTTGGCTTGTGAAGAACCAAAATCTATTAAAAAAAGAGGCTGTTACCGATAGTTCTAAAAAAAAAAAAAATTAGAAATTAGAAATACGTGATGGGCATAAAAAATGATCCTGGGTTTTGATAATATTTTGATTTGATCGCAGTATTGTAACATTGTAAAAATAATAGTTTGAAGTCTTAACCAGTACTAATGACAATGCTTACCATATTCTGGTTTCTATTTTCTGGTTACTATTTTTATGACGCTAAATACCGTACCACATTCTTTTTGCACACAATATAAACTTCTGGGCTAATGTATTTCCATATTTAATCAATAAGAAGGTTGCGACTTTGAGAAGCAAATTTAGTAACAATAAAAGAATGCTTCAATTATACAGCTATTCACTATATTGATGTTTAATGAGATCTAATTAATTTTGCTGTCATCACTATCCTATTTGAGCTCATTAATATTTATTATCAAGTATCACTTTTCATTTTATTTCATTCTGTTTAATTTAAAAATATGAGCACTATCAAATTATTGCTACTTGATTTCTATAAAGTTATTAAAATCAGGCAGCAAAGCAATCACTGGATCATATTCTAATTGCTCAAAAAATAATACATTTGTTGCTAAAGTTTAACTAGAAAGTCTACATATTTTATAAAACTCATTGTACCAGCCAATTAGATTCATATATTGAATTGGAATTATTACTACAAGTAATTTTTAAAAGATATCTTGGAGTGCAATATATTAACGACTTTGATGTCAAACATAAACTTTGATGGATCAGTATAAATTAATGGTTACATATTGACGATTACACATTAACAATTACCGATTAACGATTACATATTAACAATTACACATTAACGATTACATATTAACATACTTGAAATAATCCGCAGATGGGATATAATACTTTCAAACGTTGCAATTATTATATAATTAGATCAAGGATTTAATTTTTAGATTAACCCGATATTATTCACGTCATATAACTTTATATATAATTGTTTTAATACATGCTATGATAAAACTGAAATCAATTAATCAAAATCCAAAATTTTCATATAGTAATACACGGTATTTGAATACTTTTTTGTAAGAATATATCCATAAATTAACCCAATATTCTTGTTTTATGATGATAATTATAAATAAAATTATATGAATAAAAATAAATATCTACAGTATCTGCAGTATATACAGTGTTTTTTTTAGGAGGAGAAAAAAAATGGTATTGTTTAAAGAAACCCATTAGACTAAATGAAAAAAAAAATTCAAGAAATGAATTTCGCAGCTTGTAACCATAAAATGCTAGGGTTAATAATGCTTTCATCATCGTAAAATAATCTATGGGTAGCAGGTCTGTACATGAATTCATTTATCTTATCATGAAATTCCAAATCATGAGTTTCACTATAAGTGAATTTAAAGATAAACATTGAAATGTCCGTTGCAAAGTTTTTTGGTATATCAGGTTTGGGGTCGGTAGTGTTACTTGTAATGTTATTAATCTGCCTATAGAAATCATCTACAGTTACAACATTTCCACCAGGGAATGAAGAGTAAGACATACTAGTATTATGAAAACCACCGACAGAGACAGTAGCAATTTTAGCTTGTTCAGATAGATATTGAACAGTTTGTGCGCATGTAGATGCACAAGCACCATCAGTAAGCACAATAATGTCCTTATTCGTCCATGGAGATTTCCAATCAGCTAAAGAGGAATCGTTTAATATATCGAAAAATAGATTGGAAAATTTAGTAGTTACGCCACCTCTTGTGAATTTATTATCACCAATAAATTCAGCAGCGTTTTTAAAAGGTTGACCAGTAAATATTGACTGTTCTGCACTAGGCGAAAAACTTAATGTTTTAAAACCAAGACCTTGTTTATCGGCTTGATCGATAAGGAATGACATGACCTCATTAATCTTAATATCACGTGGGAATGTAAAATTCTTTTGTTGTTTAAAAATTTCGTTAAAGTATTCACCAAGAGGTATGAAACCACCTCCATTACTACTAAAATCTAGAACAACCTAATGTTAAAAGATTAAAATAAAATTTTAGCGCAAATTTAAAATTTAATATAAAGAATAAAATAGATTACTAACTTTTTCAACACCGGATTGGGAAAAGTTTTTAAATTTAGCTATAAGATCAGATTGATATTTATTCTGATCAAGTGCATAGGCAGGAGGTAAGAAAGTTGGTACAACGACGACACCAGTTTTGTTAAATTTATAAAACATAGTAAAATTATCAAAGTTGTCGAATTGATCACCAGGAATTTCCACACGAGTGTTGTTAGTTGATAAATTTATAGGCAATTCCGAATTTTGTTGGTTGATATTAGAAGTAATAGGTTGTTGGGTTTTGTTTACAAGACAGATGGATTCAAAATAGCTTTTGGAATCGGTGAAACCAAGAGTATTATAAGCATTATTAGCTATCCTCCAAGGTCTTTTTAATGTTTTAGTTTCGCTATTATTACATTTGAGTTCATAAGTGATACTATCAGAATCCGGTAAAGTCAAACGTCTGGTGAATTGACTTGAAGCAATAATGTTCATATTTAAGCCGAAAATACCATCAGTAAATTTGAGAGATGCTAATGCCATGTTAAATCTTACACCAAGATCACGGGAATTTCTGATATTGTTTTTGGCATATGAGGTAATTACTTCTAAAGCAGGACTGCCATCAATTTTCGTAACCTCACACCTATTATTTGAGGAATCTAAATCATCTTGGAGTACTTTAATAATCTATTATTAAGAAATTAATTAATTTATAATTATAATTATTTATCTGTTATTAATAAATTATTAATAAATAAATTTCATCAATATTTTTATCATTTTTTACCTGTGATCCATGACAATCGACAGTTGAATAAAGCCAGATGTCTTGAAGAAAGAAAAATGCGTTGTAACAAGCAGATCTAAAATCGGTATGACCGTCTTTAAGATCAATGAAAATTTGAGTTACATCAGTCTGTTATTATAAATAAAAATATTTTATTAATTAATTACATAGTATAAATATATATATTTATATATATATATATGTGTGTGTGTTTAATATATATATATATATTTGTGTGTGTGTTTAATATATATATATATATGAGAATAATATAACTTACCATAAATTCGAAATCTGTAGCGTAATCATTTTTTAACAATTTATCAAGTTCTCCATTTATATCCACAGATCTAAAGTCAAAACCCCGCTCTGCTGGTTCTCTTGACTGATCAAAAAATACATAGAAAGTTTTAAATATTCCTTTAAGTGATTCCACTACCTGCGTTAAAAATGTAAATCTTAATAAATGTTTTTTAATTGGTCCACATAAGTTTTATTTATTTTTATTTAAATTTAAAATTAACATACTTCAGTAGCCCGCTGAAGATCAAAAGGAAAGCTCATGTAACAACTTTTAACGTCCTCATACTTAATAGTCAAAGTTGTATTCGAACTTCGTGATGATACAAAACTTTGATGAATATTAGCACAACCATCTGGCTGATCCCTCTTTCTAAGTGGGATAGCAACTGTAAAAGTTCCAGAGATGGCAAGTAATAGTACTAAAATTATCCGGACCTGAAATAAGTTGTTCATGACTTTATCTTTAAACGAAATTTTAATTAAATTAATTTACATTCATTGGAAAAAAATTTAATACTTACGTTTTTTGGGTCTTTTTATAATAAAAAAAAAAAAGTAAAAATAAACAATATATTGTCATGAAACAAAAAAAAGTAACAAATAATGAAACAAATTTAGCCAATAAATATTAAAAATAGTGACATAATCCAATTAAAAAACTGAATACACTGAATACCCGTTAACAACGTTTTGTTTTTTTTAAAATTAGTGGCTTTTCATTTCCAAAGATCGAAAGTTTGTATATTTAGATATACTAGTATATAAAAAGAATAGTATTGTATCTATGAAGGTGATCACCGTGACGCTAAATAATCCATACAATACCCTTTTTTGTATTCAAAGATCAACAAATTACGTACTGAGATAGTTTTTAGAATAAAAAAATAAGTAATGATCCACAATACCAAACCGGATTTTAAGTTACTTTAATGCGTAATTTGATTCATGTTATAGGAGTTCTCCGTTTCAAAGTTATTAAGTGTGACCTATCATGTTATAAATAAGATTTCAATACATTGTGTTGTATTCCCCAAAAAAAAATTTTAAATGCAAAATTTCCCTTTATGTAATGTCTGTTCTATAGTTGAGATATGTATATTATGTGTTTGGCATAAACTATTCTTTTAAGGAGTAGAGCTTTGTGAGGTAACAAATGATTTCTTGGTATTATCTGATATATATATATATATATTGTATAAATTTTGACGAAATTTTTCGGCTTTATAGATGGATGATTTAAAGATATACTGTATTAGAACCTAATTTATTTATCAATTACATAGCATAGATAACCAACGGATATACTGTATGTATGTGTGTACGTACCTGGTACGTACGTACGTCCGTACATACGTCCGTACATCTGTGGTACTGCGACAAAAGCTGTAACTACGTACTGTACAAATGTACGTACGTACGTACGTACGTACCTGCAATGTCGAAAGTCAGAATGCCAATGGGATTAAAAAATTTCTAGATGTAACAGTAGTATTTTACACATTACCATATGTTACATGAGTATAAATGAGTACCACCAAGGGAAAACTACACTTTGGACTTTTAAATTTTAATTTACAGATACAATCCTTAACAAACAAAACAGACATTATCAAATAAGTAATAAACTTGAAACGCAATTCTGAGATTTTCTTTTGCAGCATCCATATATTAAGTGAGGGCATTTTTTGATGACAATGAGTTTAACCATTATATGATTACAACTCTCGAGCTGTTTTTCTCGAGCTGTTTTTCTCGAGCTGTTTTTTTTTACGATTGTGACAGCACATCCCTTACCGTTTGTTACCGATAACTATATTCTTTTGGGTAGTATAAGAATATGAATATAATCTTGATCAACTGCAATATTTGTAAGGAGATGGTTTGGGATTATGCGTACCATGAACTCAATATTGCAAATATACAGTAATTAGGAAATTTTTGATGTCACTATACTGTTGCTGTATAATGAAATATGCTTCTTCTGTAACGTTATCGTAAGCATTGTAAGTAGTAATTACAGTAAAAAGGAGTTTAGTGTATCGTATCAAATCTATTAAACATTACGGCGCATTTGTAAACTACCCCAAAATTTAAAAAAGTTTGACTACGGATAGTGAGTCAATTTAATTGACATC